CACATAAAAATGATATGTATTATTAAAGTAAAAAGGAGTAAACTAGGTAATGCCTTTTGTTGAGGCGACAAAAGGATGGGATATCTAAGGTATTGCTCAAACAGTGAAATTAAAAGATATTGAAAATGGCAGTCAATTCAACCTATGTCTTGTGTATAGTGAGCTCTGTTTCAGAATAGCTCACTTTATCAAGGATAAATGGTAGGGATTATCGAGTTCATTCTCGGACGCAAACGTTTTTGGTACAAACATCTCGAACCAAAAACATCACCCCCGACCAACGTGGTTAATTGGTTCTTAAAAAACTAAGGGAATGAGCATATTGGTTATCCGAGTGAATCATCATGTCATAAATAAGATTTTTTACCGCTCACTACAACTGTGATGACCCTAATATAAAATAAAGCAACACAGTGATCTAACCTAAGGGCTACTAAACCAAACATGGATACAGGTATCAAAACTTCATTTTCATGACCTTCGTAGCAATGTCGTTATCCGTATCAGGGTATCTTACTTTTACCTGAAAAAGAAATGACACGTGGATTGAGTATTTACAAATACTCATTAAATAACCTCACGGTTGAGATCAAGAAATATAACCACATGCAATCTAGGCCGAATTAGACGTACCGTACTTAGAACTAAAGAAGCGCCATAATGATGCCTAATTCTCAACTACATTGTTGATGGGTCTCCTCGAGAAAGCTTTGTATTGTAAGTGCTACCTGTTCACTCAAACAATGCTCTGAATACGAAAGTGTGTAGTTCCACCTTCTTCATACTGAGTCACAAACAGCGCGTCGTTCAGTTTCACGAAACCTGACAGGTCTATGCTCCCTCTCATCGATGTGTGCAAAAGTGTAGAAAAACCCGCATTTAATTACATATCTTACAAGTACTTGTTAATATCGACCTAAAAATTTAAACATGAAGGTAGGTAGAATTAATCTTTTGTATATATTGTCGAATATTCTTCATAGTGTTGTTGGTGGTGCACCCATTAAATATTTGGTCATATTCAAAGGCTAGCCACTCCACAAATCATGCACCAATTTTGAAGAAAATTATTCTAAGTGTCTTCCAACATGTCCCATTTTGTTTGCTTCATCCATGATTCAGAATTGTCTTTCATTCCAAGACATAACTTGTCTAAACTTAAGAAGTGCTAGTTATTAACAAAGAGTATATGTGTTGTGGGTGAAACCGTGATATCAGAAATGCTAAACGAAGCCTGAATACAACTTTTTGTGATAATTTGAACAATATTCTTTACAATTTTTTTGAAGTTCATAATATTATAGAATCGAGATACTTGATTCATATTGATTATAAAGAATTTTTAAATTCTAGAGATGAAAGAGATTAGAACGCATAATGTTCTTATGAGTGGATCATTTGGAACAGCTAGGAACTCTAGATCAACCTCACATGAGAGATGAACTACACAACACTTACATTCTTACAAATTAACTCAAATTCTTGTTCGACTTAGACATCGAAGCGTATAGAACTAGCATCACAGTGATTTATGAGCTAAACCAAAACCAAACAGTATCGCATACTACACCACTCCACTGAACTTTTGCTTTTAGAATAATATTATTGTTTGTGTGAAAGAGACCATACAAGCTGAAAGCACCCAACCATTCAATTTTGTGTTTTGTGAATGGGAAACCATAAGAGTGATGAAAAAAGGATGGAGATAAGAGAAATCTCAAACCCTATTAGCAAAGGATAAGATGAGAATTTACGACAAAATTCGAGTATTATCTCAAAATTCGACGGTTTACTGTCTTACCGTGCAATGATTGATGATCGTAGTAACGAGTATGATTATATATTTTACATGAGTCTGTTAGCTTCAATCGTGAATTTTATCCGAGTCTAGGTCATAAACTCAAAAATATAAGTTAGAAGATGATTTTGTAACAGCTCAAGCTCACTGCTAGCAGATATTGTCCTCTTTGGGTTTTTTCTTTCGAGTTTCCCTTCAAAGTTTTAAAATGCGTCTGCTAGGGAAAGATGTTCACAACCTTATAAACAATGTTTCATTCTCCTCTCCAATAGATGTGGGATCTCACAATCCGCCCTCCTTCGAAAGACGAGACCCAGTGTCCTCGTTGACACTCGTTCCCCTCTCCAATCGATATGAGATCTCACAATCCATCTCCTTTCGAGGTCCAACATTCTCGCTAACACACCATCCGGTGTCTGGCTCTGATACCATTTGTAACAGCCCAACCCCACCGCTAAATGACATTGTTCTCTTTGTAACGGTCCAACCCCACCGCCAAAACCAAAAAGTAAAATGGTAAATGTATCAACGTAAGCGTTTGCGTGAGCATAACAGGTAAAAAACACAAAGCCGGATATTGCGAAAGGCAAATCTAAACATACTATAGATGAAAAAAGACTAGTGTTTGTGGTTAACATTGGTGCTTGTGATTAGTCTCCATCCTTGAAGAACATTTGAGATCATAGAGAGTGTTCCTAACTTTTTCAGCTGATTTTTCTTTGTGTTTCTCCAATTTTATGTATTGGAGGAAACACCGAGAGAGGCAGGCATGGGCGACATGTATATTTTTATCCTCGAATGTGGTCGAACAGTAAACTTGTGTAGCTAATGGACATTATCCACTTCCTCAAAACAGTCTCCAACTTGTCGGGTTTCCAACAAGTATTATTTTAGGTCAATCTTGCGACCATTTTACTGTTTTTTTTTTTTTTTTTTTTTTTTTTTTTTTTTTTTTTTTTTTTTTTTTTTTTTTTTTTTTTGTTGTTGTTGTT